TCGCTTCGTTTCGGGCAGCTTATGTTTCAGTCTGTAAATGTACCACATCATTACGCACGAGTTGCAATTTACATTTTCTCTGCATAGCTAGAAAATTTGATGTTTCGAGCGAATTGAGTTTGTTCTTACATCATTTTTTAGCTGAGAATTGTCTGAGGCTCAGAATGTTTACATTTCATATGATGGCTACTGGGCCGTAGAAACATTCAACATTGGCTACAACTCATAATCACCAAGAAATATGAAGATGTTACTAAAGTCTGGCGACGGTGTTCGTATGAAATCAAGTTAACTTTTTTAGGTTTTGATACTACGCTACGCTGTTATATGACCACTAGATTACTTCCAAATGCCGCAGTCACAAACAGTATTGAGCCGCCAAGGCTTAGACGTATTCTTGCACAATCAAGCTCAGGAATCCTCACTACCACTGGGAAGACTAGGCACAGAGGTTTCAACAGGTGGTAATAGCGGAAGAGGAGATGGAGATAGAAGTTCTATTGGATGAGAATGCGTTACCAAAAACTGTATACCCAACGCTAGCGGAACCAGTAGATACAAAAGATGACCCGACACGAAACAAGAGAGAAGATTGTAACATTACAGCAATCAGAGCGTGGAGAGACGAGGAAAACCGTCGGACAGAAGAGGAGAAGCGCTTATTCAAAGGAAGCATCTGGGGTGAATCAGACAAAAGATTGGAGTCGAAATTGTTCTTGTCCTTAGGAAAACAGGGCCGAAGGTATGTCTACCAAAAGTATCCTAGAAATAAGATGGTGGATATAGTTTTTGCTGAGCTATGGAAATTAGCGGTGGACACTTTTCAATGAGAACCCTGCGTTATCAACCGCCTGTTTATACTGTTTAGCAGGAAACAAAGAGAAACGGAGGGTTTGGAACAATTTTTTGGAGCAATAAGGGACCGGACCTAGGGCTACGACTTTTGCAATGAAGGATGGCTAAATATGATCGAAAGATTGAGGGTTCCAATCTCATAGCTATCTGTAGGGCTGATTGGTGTGGAGTAGTTGAAGCCCTGCGCTTCAAACGTCCAAGTGACCCTCTACGTGTCTAGATCCTAACAGCTTCCTATTTGCGGAATGAAAAGCTCCAGTCATACCCGCCCGTGCAAATTAAAAGACTACGGGGTTCAAGGTCAAGAGACTGAGGTGTATGACTGTAACCAAAAACTGTACATACGCTTCGGGCCAGGGATACGATAATAACTGCGTTTGCAAGCCCCCATGTGGGAATGGCGATTGTACCCGCCCTTACAAATCAAGAGACTACGGGGTTCAAGGTCAAGAGACCGAGGGGCAACTGCTCCACATGCAACAACATTTTTAACAATACAAACCCGCCCTTAAAAATCAAGAGACTACGAGGTTCAAGGTCAAGAGACCGAGGGCAACTGCTCCACATGCAACAACATTTTGAACAGGGTCTCCTGTTTTATTTTCCTGGATCTTTTTCCGGCTCTTTTTCCTTCCCCCCATCTGCAAAATTTTATAATTGAAGTTACTGTTCACTTTGTCTGATTGTCATGCAAATTGACATCAGTGTCGTGCAAATTGACTAATTAGGCCATGACAATCATATTTGGTCTTCATATTTAACCTTCTAAAACCACTCGTTAGACCATAAAAATAATGTTTGAGTGAGGTGGGCGGGAAAGGAAAAAGAGCCCCACTCGTTAGACCATAAAATTCATGTTTGAATGAGGTGGGGGGGGGGGGAGGAAAAAGAGCCCTTTTTTCTCCCCCCTCATCAATAAGCATCAATTTTTTTATGGTGTAACCAACAATGTGAACAGTAACATCGGCTCTTTTCCAGTTCCCCTCCCCCTTTTCAAATACCGAGTTTTATGTTTGTTTTACGTGTTATTACGGCTAAACGCGTGATGTTACGCTGTAAAGTATGAAGAACAAATCTGTTCACAGTTGTCGATTTGTTCACCACGCAAAATTTCATTGCATTCTGACAACGGCTCTTTTCCAGTTCCCCCCTTTCAAATTCAATTTTGAAAAGCTTATTTAACGGTGTCATAATGCAATGAAATTTGGCATGGTGAACAAATCGTTAACTTTGAACAGATTTGTTCTTCATACTTTACATCGTAACATCACGCATTTAGCCGTAATAACACGTAAAACAAACATAAAACTCGGTATTTTGAAAGGGGGGACTGGAAAAGAGCCAAATACGCTTTTCAAAATTAAATTTGAAAGGGGGGACTGGAAAAGAGCCGTAACTTTACTAGTAAACAATTGCAGGTGGGGGGAAAAGGAAAAAGAGCCAAAAAGCCAAAAAAAAAATTACAAAATTATGAATTAGTTTCGATGTAAATATTCTCATCTGAAACAATTTCATTTATTTAAAATATAAACAAATTCAATTAAAAAGCGGGAGTTGACATTTTGTCGGAGAGTTTTCCAGTTGGGAGTCATTTTTAAATTAACCATCTTGCAAGAAAGTGTCCAAGAGTTGTACCAATTTCTCCCACGTCCTTTTAAATTTTATTCAAAAATAACTATCGATTGATTTCAAAGAAATGGTAAGTTTATTACAGTTAACAAAGTATTTTTTCAAGCACTATCGGCTCTTTTTCGAAAGTTGAAAAGAGGCTCCGGCTGTTTTTCCTACCAAACCCCCCCCCACCTCACATAAGCGTCAATTTTATGTGTAACGAGGGGTTTAACAAGGTTAATTATGAAAACCAAAAATGTTTGTCATGGCCTAATTAGTTCGCATGCCAATTTTTGTAACATTTGGATAAAGTGAACAAAACTTCACTAGTATAATTTTGCTGGTGGGGGGGGGGGGGAGGAAAAAGAGCCGATGCTCCTTGCCAGTTCCCCCCTTTCAAAATACCGAGTGTTCTATTTGTTTTACGTGTAATTACGGCTAAATGCGTGATGTTACGCTGTAAAGTATGAAGAACAAATCTGTTCAGAATTGTCGATTTGTTCACCACGTCAAATTTCATTGCATTGTGACAACGTTAAATAGACTTTTCAAAATTGAATTTGAAAGGGGGGACACTGGAAAAGAGCCTGAAAAGATCTAGTCTTCCGCTATTGACACAAAATGGTTTTTGCCCAAATAGTTTATGAGATAAACACGATAACAAAGTTTGAAATTCTTAGATATTCTTAGATATTCTGAAATATAATCTTAAAGTTTTCATGTTTAATTGCTTCCCAACTGTTTTTCCCCTTGTTTTAGTATATTTGTCGATCGTATCTTCTCGCAACGATCACTTTTGCCTTTCTTCACTTTCCACTAGCACTGTTACTACGACAAGCATGGATGCAAGAGACGAGAACAAATTCAAACAGCGGCGTGAACAAAGAACTTCTGGTTCGCAACTCGGATCAACTGCTTCGGAATTGTATGGGATCGAGTTGTGCAATGCGAGAGAAACGAGAAGCAACTCAATCGGCTCAAGCGTCGCAAGAACTCAGAACCAAACCCAATATTGCAAGACCAGTAGCTCCGCCATACAGGTTCAAAACCACAGATTTAATTGGCGAAACAACCCAAATTGGTAAGAAGAAGACAAAAAATGTCAAAAAGGTTAACGCTAATAAGAAGCGAACACCTTGTAAACGAAACAAGAGCAAGAAAAGGTCAGAGAAAACGGCTAAAAGAAGAAACTTGAAGACAGGAAGGTTATCATCATCAACGCCTGCAACAGCGAAGCGATTTAATCCCTGGAGAAAAGCAGAAAAGATATCCAAAAGGACTTTCAATCCGTGGAGGAAATCTAAAAGTTTGACAAGCCGGTCGTTTAACCCATGGAGGAAGTCGGAGAAAAGTGATGGAAATGTTTTTTCTAGTATCTCGGAAAGATCTCTTTGTTCAAAGGAGCCTACTTCAAGAGATATGTATTCAAAGAGTCTTGAACAGAGTCCGTATAATGTACGAAAAAACAGGCCTTGGTATGATTTGAGTGGTTGTTTTTTTAGTTTTTGATATAAAAATGATTGAAAGAGAAACCAAAATGAGAAACTAAGTTCCAAAATTTAAGTGCCTTTTTTTACTTCAGCTTTGAGTTTTTCAATAAATGTTTCGAAAAACCCCCAACTTATCATTTTCATAATGCAACGAAACTTGGCATAGTGATCAAACTATAACTATTGTGAACAAGTTTGTTCTTCATACCAAACTTTGTAAGTAACATCACACATTTAGCCTTAAAAATAGGTAAAACAACTATGGATAAAGAAATTTTGAAATGTGGCGTTGAAAAGAGCCATGTTAACTATGAACTGAGTTAAGAAAGCAGGTTGTGTAATTTTTGAAAGCTAATATAAATTTGTAGCACTTTTTAATCTGCGCGATTGCGTAGAAGTAAAAAGGGTAAAAAAAAACTCAAATAAAACAATTTCTGCGCAATAAAAAAAATAGTGCTTTCCCGTTTGCCGTCCTACATTTGCCTCTTTTTTTCTCTCCCCCCCCCCCATCCTCACATAGGCATCGTTTCTATAATGGCCCAATTTGATCACATGACAATTTTTGTAACAACCGGACAATGCGAATGCGAACAAAATTATCCCCCTCCGGTGAGGAGGTTGGTGGGGCTGAGGAAGAAGAGCCTAAATTTTTTCTGTGAAACCCTTCCTTGACTATTCCAACAACAGAAAAAAAAACTACCTATAAAATGGTGAATTATCGTGCGTTATTGACAGAAAAATAATTCTGCTAATTTTATATGATAAAAAAAGTGAATATTAGTACTAATATTAGAGTTTGAAAGCCATTACGAGGCCAAACTGTGCACTGGATAGGCGCACAGTTTTGTGTCTGTATGTTCCTGGATTCCAGAGACAAGTCTTTAAACATGTTAAAACTTTGTCGGGACGATCAAAGAAAATGGAATAACAAAAGAAGAATAAAGAGAGCGTCCTTGTTGCGGAATCCGCTTACAATTCACAAACAAAAAACTTAGTCGGCTAAGAGAGCAAAGTCAGGTCGAAATGATAATCCTTTGATTCATAGGGACAGTGGTCTAGGGGTATGATTCTCGCTTCGGGTGCGAGAGGTCCCGGGTTCAAGTCCCGGCTGTCCCCTTTATTTGAAATTAAGTCTTCAGCAATTTAACCCTGTTCAGAAGTCTTGGCTCGTCCCTGTTTTAGACCCCGGCTAAAAAAAGTTCCCGCGTTGACATTCCATACAAAAATGCTTGTCATACACTTTCATATGAGGCGTATATGAAAAAAGTTTGTATCATACAAAATTCAAGCAATAACTAAAACTTATTCCAATGACTTCTAGCACATATCTTTCTGGTTATGGAAAAAAAACTGATTTTTTTGGATTAAAACTGCTTATCATGCAAGTTTCATGCATGGAATTTTCATGATAAACGTTTTTTTTTTTGTAGAAAAAAGGTAATATTCAGAAGTCATTCGTAAATTTTTTCACTAATTAATGTTTCAACAATGCAAAAAAGGGTTTCAACCAGTTTCAAAAATGAAAAAAAAAGTTTTTTCATACAATTTTATAGTATGGAAACAATGTTTATCATACATTTTCATACCATAAAAAATTTGCTTCTCATACCATTTTCATTCATTTTTGGGGATAAAAACTTTGAAGAAAAGGCCATACATTTACTTTCAGTGTGTAAAAAATTGCTTAAAATTAATTTTCATAGTTTAAATACATGATTGTTTTGTTCGTTTCATACGATTTTCTGAGTTCATGAAACAGTATGAAATAGTATGAGAAGCATTTTTTCATAATCAGAATTTGTATGAAAAATATTTTTTTATCAAGCCTGGTTATCAGGCTGAGCTCTATGACAGGAGCGAGCAAAGACTTTTGAGTTGCAGTGGATGAAAATGGTCGGCTCTTCCAATCTTCCCACCTTTCACAATTTTTTTATATTATAGCAGTTTTAAGTGTTATTACGGCTAAACTCACAATTTTACCTGTAAGATATGAAGAGCAAATCTGTTCACGATTGTTAGTTTGTTCAAATATCAAGTTTCATTGAATTATGTCAACGCTAAAGCAGTTTCCAAAAAATGAAAATAAAATGTGGGGTAAAGTGGAAAAAAGCCAAATAGTTAAAGACAACCATTTGAAATAAAGGGGACAACTGGGCCTTGAACTCGGGAGCTCTCGCACCCGAGGCGATAATCACACCCCTAGATCACTCTAACGCGATTTTGTTGCGGCCCAGAAAGGACATATCAGGAATTTGCGCAGTCCAACAAATTTGTGTTGAGACTATCGCGATTCAAACCGGGTATGTCTCGACTTTTGCGCTACCAAAAATATGTGTGCAAATTTGATATGTTGCGACTCTGCGCAACAAATTTTTCTCTTTTCTTAGCAACTTTGCGCAACACAAAAAAAATGCAAATTCGCATTACCACCTTACCAAAAAAATTGTGCCACTGCGCGACCAAGGATAGTTCGATAACCTTGTGCGACACATTATAGATATTTTGCGACTTTCTACGACCAATACATCTATTTGCAACTTTGTGCTATAAAAAAGCATCTTTTCGGCTGTATGCGTCCCAAAAATTGGCTCTTTTCCAGTTCCCTTTTTTGATTTTTTCTGAAACCTAATTATGAAAGTCTATTAAAAATATCTTTTCATTTTATACACTGCATCAAAATGTGTCAGCATGAGCAGGTAAACACATTTTTACAATGTTTCTTTACATGCAAAATGCCTGTTTGCAAAACAAAAAATTTTGAACCGTTTTTTATTTTGTAATGTTACGAGGGCGGTGGGAAACTGGAATAGAGCCCAAAAGAACCCAAAACTTTTTGAGTCGATTGATATCTGCTTTCAATTTCTTCAAAAGGAAACAAGTTTAATCAAAATACTCAAATTCTGTTAAATTTTGTTCAGTTTGGCCCGAATTTTGCAGATTTTTTTTTTCATAGGTGAATTTACTAGACTTAGGTCGGTTGTATTCGGATTTGTTCAACCTTACCAGAGAATGTTCAATTTTGCAAGACTATTTCATTTTATTTGACGTCGCTGAACTATATTGCCCAGATCAAGCTCGTGGTTTGTGTTAACACAAAAAGAACCGAAATTTGGGATCAATTGATTAGTTCCCCTCCCCCCTTTCATTTTGTTTAAACCATTTAAACTTTTTAAAAGTGTATAAAACTATACGCCAGATTATCCAACAAACGCAGAGAACCAAAAATCACACTATGAAAACTCCCGTACGATTTTTCTAGCATAAATAGATGTCAGAGAATTGACCCTGGTAACTTGCTCACCTCAAAGCAATGATCGCTCAATTAAAAAATCGAAAAAAAATTGAAACATTTTAGATTTTTTTTTCAAAAATTTGTCTTTCGAGACTCATATAAAAAAAATCAGTGTGCCAAATGAATGCGATCATTATACGTTGCAAGCACCTTATCGCGTTTGAAAACATCTTTTATAATGATTTGCCGTATTTGCTTGCGGGGGATAGTTGATCATACCGGGGGAGAAGGGGTATTGCTCAATTTTTCCGAAGTTTGGTATATTCAGACCTTTGATAGTAGATAGTTTGCAATCTTGTGGACCAAAAAAATCGTAAATTTTGTACCACTGTTGGGACGGCAAAAAATTCACTGACACCATGGACGCTGACTTTGGCATCTTAAAATCGAGGAGAATCTCAATGAACCGTTTGGGACCATGAACAATATTGCCCGAGTCGTGTTTCAGTTTTGCAAGTGTTAAGTTGCGAGTTTGCGCGACTTCCGCGCAAACTTTGCGCGGTTTATGTTGCTAACTTTGTCACGAAATTTTAGATGCCTTTTTTCAATCGCGAAAGTCTGGAAATACCGTTCTAGGATCGCAAACTTATAGACACGGGAAATTGACCCAAGTATTTGAGGACAAAATTTTCTCTGATTGAGTATAAGCGCATGATAGCTTGAATTTATAATGAGTTTAATAAAACTCCATTTAAAAAAAACAGCCAAATTGCTCGGGCTGAATTTTTGGTTCTGATGATCACGATCCAATTTTGGTTTTCACAGGCCGTCGCGACAGAAAACTGGTACTTTTGGACCACTGCAAGGAGATCCATTTGAGACCAGCGCGACCAAAGAAAAAAATATCCGCGACTATTGTAAGAATGTCCGCGACCGACAAGACTGTTGCCATGTTTGCTATAAACTTCAAATATTATGACTTTGACAAAAAGAATGTTTTTATTCTGGAATTTCAGTTCTTCTATTGTGTTCTTTTTCCTTTTTCTGAAACCTAAAGTTTGCTCATTGTTGTAAGACATCTTAAATAAAAAACTGAATTTAGATTCAGATTATTTCTTCCCAGATTATTTCAAGATCAATGTTATCTGCCATTGCCTTTCGCAAAAAAACTTTATACTATCGCGATGCTTTTTCTGGACAACCGCGACTGAATTTCGAAGAAAAGCGTTACAAGTTTCCTGAGTATTGTGTGACTAAACTAACATATATCGCAACTAACTTATTCCAGACTATCGTGACTTTGAAATTCTGTCTAAGTTTTTGATGGCGTGAATGAAATTGGCGCGGCTTTGAAATTGCGGAGATCAGTCGCGGACTTCGATCCAAACCTCGTGTAGAGAGCTTCAAATTCGGCACCAATGTTTTCTATGCTTTCACTATAGGTTGAGAGTGAAAAAAAAAGAAATAATTAATCTTTTTGCATCAGTTGATACCACTTATCTGACCCTTACAACTGCTAACTCAGTTCGACCCTTTTTGCGCGGATGTTCTAAGTCATTCGGCTTCCAGAACGTTCCATATCAACCCTTTCACCTTCGATCCCTTTTCACCGTTGTTGTTATTGTGTGTACTCATTTGAAATATTTTTTATCGGGTTTGCTTCCAGCGGTTGTAAATACATTCAGATCTGTAGACTCGCTTCGTTTCGGGCAGCTTATGTTTCAGTCTGTAAATGTACCACACCATTACGCAAGAGTTGCAAATTACATTTTGTCTGCATAGCCAGAAAATTTAATGTTTCGAGCC